TTGTGATAATGATTTACACCCAAAACCAATTTTGCCTGATAGTGTCAAATACTACAAAATGGACAAGAACTAGCACACAGTATTTTAATACTCAAAATACTGCTTGACAAGGTTTCAAGACTCTTGCTTGATCACAAACCACAAGGAAAGAGAGATATAACATGCACGATCAGCAGCAGTAGGGTGAAAATTCCTCACAATTGCCTTGTTAAGTAGGATGTGCTCAAAGAGATTCCAACTAAGTTCCTTTAATTTCTGTCCAAAATTCAGATTAATTACACATTCTGCTGAAATCTCAAGAAACATAAATATTTAGTGCACTTCCCATGGCCTCCTAAATTATGTCCAGGGATACAAAAGATTTGCTTTTTCTCCATGCGTTTAACTTTGAAATTTTATTGCATCATAGCTTTCTCTTTGTGGATGCTTTTCTAAAAAAAACATTCAGTTAACACTTTAACATGAGCTGAATGCTCTTTTCTAGTGTGTATTTTAGAATACACTTAAACAAAGCTGCAAGTCAGATCCTACATGCTTTTACCAGGTGTTGCTCTAAATTTTTATTTCTTTCTTTGAGAAAAAGAACGCTACAAAACTTTAATTATTTAAATGTCAATTTTCAAGACCAAAATAGATCCTGTCATGTAGTATGGCTACTGAGAGTCACTCTGAAAATAACACAGGATCGAACGGCTCCAAAAGGATCAAAACAGTTGCAAGAAAAGCTATCCACAAACAAAGAACAAATGTAAGGACACCTAAACACCAACACTGTGCTGTGGCATGAAACTGTGGGTCAGTCCTAAGTTTTAGCAGCTGGCATGTACCTGAGGTACTGTGCAACACAGGTAACAAAGAATAGGAAGGGAGCAATGCTTACTACGTCTGATGGAAGTGTGGAGGTATAGGACAAACCTGTCTGCTTCATGATTTGTCTTAATTTTGTTCCCTTTTAGTGTAATACAATGCAAGGTAGAAGCAACTGCTTTGCTGTTACATTTTTTTTGTAAACTTGAACTGTTCAATTCTGTCTCAGATTCATGTTTGAAGTACTTAAAATTGTTTAAGCAAAAGTTAGTGCCCCAGGAGAGCTCCACCCCATGTTTCAAATTCATCCTTACCCCTCTTCCTCTAAAAGAACGTAACTGCAGTAGTCTTCTAAACATGGTTACAGGCTTAAACACAGCTTACAACTAGACACAGCTAGTGCTGCTAAATTCACTAGGATAAAATCTATGTGGGTTGAAATAAGAAATTGAACCATCTGATTTTTAACACTTGTTAATTGCAGCTTGTACCTGGAAACCCAAATACTGTATGTCAGGAGTCAATGCATGAAAATTATAATTCCAGGGCAAGTACCTGCAGCTACTGCCAGCCAATTTTTTATTTTTTTTTTAATGACAGAAGACACATTGTAGAGATTAAAGATCATAAATTACAATTTAAAGCAATAATATCTCTAGTAGAAGAGCATTATACAAAGTACATGCTGTTTACAACAGCTACCATAAAAGTTGCTGCAATCTCATTTCATATTTGAAGTCCTCTAAACTAAAAAAAATCTATGTAATCTCAACTACTGCTCAATTGCTTTTAAATTTATCTAATTAAATTCTTTTCTCAGAACAAGAGCTAGTAGCATGTCCAATTGCACTCGTAATTTTTTTAACCAGAGATCGAGGAATTAATTTATATGCATACAAATAGCATCTATTGCAAATTGATTTTTCCGTTACTTTCATTGCACCTTCCTACAAATCATTCCTAAACATCATAGGAATAACATTTCCTTTTTCTAATACACAAGGCTACTTAACACATATAACAGCTTTGCTTTTCCTTCCAAAATGGAACACCTGATGTCACTATTTGTTAACTGTTGTTAATACTCACTCAAATCTATTTAGACCTATAATATTACTTCAGAAAGACAATTTATAGAGGAAAAAATTAAACAGGACTATAAAACCAAAAGCAAGCTTTTTATCATTGCACACGCTGATGTCTGCTTATATGTTTCTCCGTTATTGTGAAGATGAAAAGTAAGGCTAAATTTTCCTTATAATAAACCCATTAGTAATTCTATTGCAGCACTAAATACATCCTGCCTTGTCGGTACAAGGACTAATACAAAAAATTAGCTCATAAATAGAAATGCTTTTTACCAGAGAATCAAATGCAGCTTGATTAATTTTCTCTGGTTTGGAACCTATAGGCTCGACACACATTGTACATCTCCCTACGTACCACACAAACACCACCTTTTACTTGAAGTTGAAAATCTGAAAATTAACATTTACAATCTACTGCAGTTGTAAAATTCAGATCAGATCAGCAATTCATAACATTTTGCAGGTGGGTAAAGAAACTAGGCAGAATAATTTTAAAGTAGGTACGCATCACACCTAGGCAATGAAACTACATGAGCTGAATATTCATCATTATTAGATTTGTATTTAAAAGGCTGTTCACACGTAGGTAATATATCTGCTGTGTAAGCATTCTGAAGCAAGGAAATGAGGGAAGCAATAAGCACCTTTATATCCCTGTGGATTTGGAGAGGTTATACCACTACAGCTTCAAATTAAAAAAAAAAATACTAAGCTATAATCGTTATTCTGTTAAGAATGTAACTCATATAGAGTCCAAGTCCTGGAGATTCTGGGTTAAAAAGAATAATAAAATCACACACTCGTCCTAACTAGAATCTCATTCATGCTCTAGATGGTTTGGAATAAACTATAAAACCAAAACATTTCTCTTCTGACTGCAAAACCCAATGTAAAAAGTAACAAAATCTTTCTGTGTACACAACAATTACTTTGCTGAAAAATAAGGGGATAGAACAATGCAAATTTTTAATTTCTCATTATAGAAATATCTAACATAAAGGGAAGAGATGAGATTCTCAGACAATGGTAAGAGAATAACAATCAATTTATTTTCTGACAGCTAGAGTCCTTTATAGTGGGATTTATCCTATCTATTTTATTACAAAGAACCCTAAAACTTCTACATCACTTATTCAGAGTTCAATCCAAATTCCACTGAAGCAAATAAGAGTCATTCCACTCAGAGCCTATGGGGTAAGGAACATCATTCTTCACTGAATGCATTCTGCACTAGGAAAGCTACTAAACACAACCACGGTGCTCAAAACAAACAACTTTCCAAAAGGAAAAATAAAGACAACTTGTTTGAACAATTCTTCTGAAAAGCGGTACTCTCAAAAATACAGTTATATTCATTGCAATGTCAAAAAGGCTACACACTTGAAAATTTTTGGAGTCAGACTTTATACTGTTCATATTTTTTCAACCTCATTATTCCTTGACTGAAAACACACATACCATATTTTGAATATATCAACTATTCGCGTTAGATATACTTGTTCACATACAGACAGAAGATGATACTCAACTAAAGCAAATAAGGTCTTTTCTAATATAGAGAATGCATCATTGAGCAATTTCATTTCACCTACATAGCAAAGAGACAATATTAAATCCTACCACAGCTCTCATTTTCAAAACAACATACGCAGCAGTGGGGTCTCTACAGTAATTGCTACTTTACTACACTTTTGTTTGTACAAACAATAATGTTTCTTTATTGCAAGGAGATTCACATGAACAAAAGAAAAATGACAAAAGAAATCTGGCAAGAAAAATGTGAGCTTGCCTTAACCAAAGTTACAAGAAATGTGGAAAAATGTAAGCATTTGTTCTCTGTAAAGAAATCTTTTTATTCATTTGCCTTTTAACTCCGCTAATTCTAATTAGAAAAGTTTGCAACAGTAACTGTTAAGAAAAACACTCAAAGTGTAGTTCGAAGGACCTTATAAAATAAGCTTCTGCAATATGCATCTATTTCAACCACCTGATTTTTGTCATATTCTCAGAACTCATCTTTCACTTCAACTGCATAAGAAAACTGTTTCAAGGCAATAGTTCTACACAGCAAAAGCAGACTCAAGAGACTCAATTCTGTTGAGCTTTAAGGCTTATTTAGTCATGTCATTTCAAAGTGTTAAAGAATCACCCATCTAACACAACAATACCTAGTATTTCTTAAAGTAACCAGAAAACCCCCTACTTTCAAACTTAAACCATCTCACAGTTAACTCATTCACAGTAAAGACTGAAATGAAGGCAAATGTGACTCATGTATAACCATGCATGGAAAGGCAGTTTTCTCCAATTTAGAGAAATGTTTTCCTAGAGCAAACAGTAAGGAAAAATATTTTTCCTTAACACCTTTGTTTTTTAATTGTTGGGATATAGAACAGCACATAAAGGTTCCAGCAAGTAATCTGTTTGTGACTCAGGTTCTCTAACAAGGCACATTAGAAAGTAAAATCAGATCCTCTAACAGAAAAGCACAAAATGCATAAAGTAACTTGTTAGCAAAGGGGATGTATCACGAAACAAGGGTTATTCTAAAGCAATGCAGGGATGAGGCAGGAAAAGGAAGAAAACTTGTTTTATTCCTTGCGTACTTCCAGTATGGGGATGGTTTAGGAATGAATTTTTTTTTTAAACATTGTTCTTCTGCAGCTATTGCATTCTGAAATGATTAGAAAATAAAATCCCCATAAGGAAGGACATGGTCAGCCTCAGACAATTTGGTTGTGAAAGTTACACCACCAGCCACACCATTCCACCAGTTTACAGTGTACCATAAAATATTTACACAAGCTACGATCTATAAAATATTTTCACGTGAACTATAAAATATTTACACTATCAACATCAGTTAAGAAAGAATGATGTGCCGTCAAGCTGGTGTGACCCAGAAGTAAAGATTTTGTGGTCACAGATTAAATAAAACTGTTGAAAATCATCTGGAAAGTTACAGTGAATATTAGGTTAAACAAATTACTGCTTCCTGGTCTCTCGGATGGTAAATGTAACCAGGAAAGCATAGCTTGTGTGCCTTAAGCTAAGTTTTACCAACAACATAATGAAAGGTTAGGCTCATAATCAAAGTGCACTGACCTCTCTGAATGTTCCTTCTAGCAAGGTGTCCAGATGTTGAAGAGGAGCCGGAGTTTTGTCTTTGAATCGTGTCAGCAACCGTCGCTCAATAGCTCGGAACTGTAGAGCCCTTTCAGATAACAGCTCCTGAAATTTTTCAGCATTCAAACGTAGCTGCAATTTAAGAGTTTTCAAGAATTCAGCTGAAGGGTCACGTATATTATGTATCCACAAATGAAATGGGAGTATGATAGTAAAATTTTTGGGAGAGTGTATATTATTTAAATATGACAAGGTCATTCATATCAGTTCCGTACTCTACACTCTTTGTGAAGCTTATTAACATTTTCAAGAATTATCATTTGCCACTGAAATCAAAACTCCCTGTCAAGAGCCACAATAACCTGTGAAAATGCCCAAATATCTCATCAAGAAGCCTAATAACAAAACTGAAATTTCACCACCAGGATCTCAGAACTTCTTCTTGGTTTGGTATGCTATTTATGACACACACAGTGTATTGGACTTGATATTCATTACAGTAGAAACGAAACGGTTATTCCTTTAAGTATGACTGGAGTACTAACTTGTGCAGCATTTGAATTATTGCCTTTTTCTGAAGTGAAATCCTTTTTCCTTTTACATATACACACCATCTGGAGCAACAAGCTTTCCTGAAGTGTTCACAAAACTTCGAACATTGTAAATCAAATGCCCAGATAATAAGAATTCTTATTTTATCTTTTCATCACCTTACCATTTTCCAGTACACACCTCTGACACAAAAATCACTAAATAAAGGTGAGTATTTCAAAAAGCCAGGACTCTTCTGTACAGCCGACATACTGTAACTAGCAGAACTTATCAGAAGAAACGTTAAGACACACAGCTTTCCAGATGTGAGCATTATGACACACAGCCATTTTAAAGTGCCCCAAAATGAGCAGAAAAAATAAGTTTCCTAAATTTAGAAAACAGTTATATTTAAAAATAAGCAAATGTATCATTGTGTCACTATATGATTATGAAGGACAGTTCAGGGAAGCTAAGAGAAAAAGAAACATTAGGCAGCTTTACTAAGAGTAGGAGGAAAAAAGGGACATCTCAGATAATATTCTCCCAAGGCTGCCAAAAAAGTGTGTGTTCAAACTAACAGGGATGGGAACATTGAGATCCCCTTGACAGAACACTCGATACTTTTTAGACCAGATAATTATTGTAAAATTTGTTGCTGCTTTTGCTCATTACACGAGTTTAACAGACATTTTCAAATAGCTATTCTCCTTTATTACTGGAAAAGCCGGGGGGAGGGGAGGGAAGGAATGCATATATTTTATTTTATTAGCTATTTCTACACGCTAGCTGAACTAGTGGAGATTTTTCATTGTCATCTGCACAACCAAACAGGAAAAGTAAACTTCCTTGAGCCTCCAATGCTACTTCTACAAAGGCAGCTTTCTTAAATCTGAAGGGACTTTTTATACAATTACCAGGATGAATCAGAAAAAAAAAATGCTCATGGCTCCATTATTACAGAAGAGTAAGAGAGCCTAAAACCAAGGACAGATTTTAGAAACAATTTTACAATTAACATGATATTAGTGAATGAAGAACCCATGGTTTCTGTACAGGAAGCGAGCAGAAGGGCAAATATTTGTATCATTTGCAGACTGCACACTAGCTACTTGCACTCTTCTAATCACAAGGGATGTTTTAGAGGCAAGGTATACTCCATATTTTCAACACTAAATGACAACATTTTTTCCAGCACTTAGATGCAACTTTCTATCTTTTGCAAGCCAAATGCTTGTGAAAGCTATAGTTATAATCTGATTAATCATAGTACTAACATACAAACAATTTTTAAACTAGAACATCAATAATTCACATATTATGTAATGTACCTCAAAATGTCGATCAATTAGTTCAAAATATTCTTGCAGGGGAATTGAACCAGAAAAGGTACATGCAAAATCTTTGCAGTTTTGCTTCTTGAAATGTTCTTCGAGTCGAAGTGTGAGCTCTTTTGTTATCAGCCAAAGGTCTTCTAACTGATCACTCTGGATCCTATATCGTTCTTCAAAAACAAGAACAAACACAAGCCTAATAAACACACATTGAAGCCACATACATTTACTATACAACATACTTTAGATAACACACAAACTTAACTTCCTAACTGTATCCAAAGTCTATATGAGATTTTTGTAAGAGATACATGTCTACTAGTGTTAAAGAAATACTTGTATTTTATTGATCTCAGTCCTAAATACTCTCTTTTTTTATCCTAACTTTAACAGGCAATTTTGTAGCAGAAAATGAAAGTATTTACTGCTTCCCAACTCCTTACTTCAGAGTACAGGTATGTTCATGAAGAACAAAAAGCTTTGAAGAACCGCCATAATAAGGAAACAAGAGAATTACTGGATGATATTAAGTCACAACTGCAGGCTGTCTGCAATTCTTTGCCATAACACAACCTTGGTGAGCTTTTCTGGGGGTTGCAGGCAGAATCTGGCTCAATTCACTTTGCACCATCCCAGAAGCATCCTAAGCATCTGACGACAGTGGTAATATACCAACTCCAATCCACTCAAAATCTTCAATGTCTTTTGGAAATGGTTATTGAGTTCTTAAAGAATACACTCAACATAATTTTTATTACATTTCCACTTCCTAGGATTATCTTCTAGTAGGAAAGGTTTTACTCTAACTAGTCACAGACAGCAATATTCAGTTTTGTCAGTGCTATGTTTCAGTCTACATACAGCTAATATTAGTAGAAGGTGATTTTTATCCATCTACACACTATGGCTTTTTAAAAAGGGCTTAGTGTAGAAATGAAAGTATTAATATAAGCTGAAGTGGAAAAACAAATCCTGTTGGCCAATGATGTTTGTCCCAGTAAATTAATTTAACTTATCACACTTATCAAGCTAGTGGGATGACAGATTATTTCTGTTGATTCTAGCCCACATTTGTACAATCCTCTCTTCAGTTTCCAGGAAATCAGAATTAACTAAATGTTGAGAGGAAAACATTGTGGAAAAATCAGAGCAGCATTTTAATTTTTCTTTTTTTTCAGACAAACACATTCTAACAACTGTTCCTTATTTCTTTTCATGACTCATGTACCAATACGTTATCCAAAAGGATAGACAGAAAGGCAGCTATGAGGAAAAAGAGTTGCTGGGGCTTGATACAAAATAGTTCTTTTTTTTGCGCATGTTAACAAGGTTCACAGTAAATCAAATTAACCAGAATTCTTTAGAACTTAAATGTACTTATTTAAAATTTTCTCAACATTAGTAATTCAAGATTGTTTGACATTACCACTGGCATTGTTCCCAGGATACATATTTCACCAAGTAGAGAATGACAAATTCTGTTTACAGTGTAACAGGAAAGAAGCAAGTTTTATTTAAAAACATGCCTGTTAAAGAAAAGAACACCATCTGCTAAAGATAACATTCAACCTAATATCCATTTTTTAAACACTCACAATGTAATAGCCGGACTTAGCTGGATGTATCATCATACTTTGCCTAAGTGATTTTTCCTTGAGGGAAATTAGCTCAGATGTTTTCAGGCCAAATCAACAGTCATTCCATTTATAATTGACATATCTAATACACTAATGGTTAAAACTGGATAAAACTAATTTCCTCCAAAATGCATATTTAGTTCCCATACATTGTTTGTTGGTCAATACAAACACAATCTAATTTTACCATGGCCTGAGTGGAGAACATCACAGTCATTTGCTTTACATGATCTTTCAGCTCTCAAAAAAGACAAATGAGATTTAGAAACTGTACAAAACTGAGAATCTTTAGTTGTACTAAACATATGCTTTAAACAGGAATACAGTGAAAAAAATAAATAACTGTGCTTCTGCTCATCCTGTGCTTTTGTAATAGTTAACTAACTTGTGTTAGCTTTTTGTTAAAATAAGCTCTGTTACAGAAAATTACAGTAGTTTTTCAGAAAATTCTCAAACAGGAAAGCAGGAGACTGAGGAGCACCAATAGGTTACATAGGTTACTCAGGCTTTTAACACTACAACAGGTTGTCCAACGAGCACAACCTGCATTAAGAATGGCTGCCCTGCCAGTAGGTTATCTGAAGGAAGTCTAGAAGATTTAGTTCACTTCTCATCTAGGAAGACCACATCAGCAGAAAAAAACCCCAGCCACAATTAGCAGTCAAGACTTCTTTACACTTTTATTTAAAAAACAGTTTTAAAAAATGTTAGCAAAAAAACTTTAAAACTGTAATCTACATGAGGTAAGCTTTTTCATATGTATTAACTGTCAAAATGGACTTCAGGCTGGGCTGCTTTGCAGCAGTTCTCAACAGGCTGAAGTAAGATCTTCAGCTACAACACTGTTTAAAATGGAGTAGCTAATACAATTAAAAACAAGATGTCATTCAAGTTTGCAGCTTCAGCAGTGAAATACAGCTGAAGCTGGAGACTTCCATTCCTACATGCAGTTCTTCCCATTCAGAACTTGAGGTCCATTTGATAAGGGATATGGAAAAAGACGTCTTCTTCCATTGTCTAAGACTAACTTCCTTCATGGAAAACCAGGAATAAGGATTGATCAGTCCCAAATAACTTTAGCTTTTCTGAAACACCATTACTTCTAGCCACTATTTATCCACATATACAATTTTCTTTTTTTAAGAACATTTCCACAATGATAATACTGCATAAGCACTTTAAAAAAGTATAAGTGTTAAATTACATAGCAGAATAAGGATGTCCCAAATAATACATCATTTCATCTGCCTTCACTAGTTCTATAAAAGATCTGTTCACTCAAGCACAAGCATTTTAGTGTCATAAAATTCCACCAAACATTTTTGTATTATGGACAATATCTGTTCATAAAAATATTTTTAATTATGCTTGAGTATCAGACCTTTTACAGATTTTATATTTTAAATAAGTTTTAGTTTGTTAACATTTCAAATAAGCAATCCTCCCTAAGAAATTCTATAACTAACCCAATCCAATGCATAAAGTGGATGCTGGAAACAGTCTGTTAACATGGAAGGTAGCACCATACAACTCATTTGTTGTCTAAAGTAAGGATTCCCAGACACAAGAAATAAGCAGTCACACTAAGAGAAATAGATATTTTTAATCTCCTTCATAAAGGGAACTTCACAAGGAAAGCAGTGTGGGAAAGTTTATAGTAAGACTGCAAGCATCATTCCTAGCTAGTGAATAAACAAACCTGAGAGAAAAAGCTGGAAGGTTTGGGGTGGGGGAATTAAAAGTTATAGCCCCACCAGAAGCTCAAATACATTCACTACATAGACACAAATTTGTCCTTTAAACAGCATCAGACTTAGTAACTCTGCAAAACAAAGTCCAAATGAAATATTTAAATTGTAATCCAGAAAAAAAGTTATTTATAAATCCTTTAAATTCTTTAGTTTTTAGAAACTACCATTGCATGTCTGGTTATTTTAAACTGTTTAAGATCTACTACTTAAACAAATATTAAAACCAAACGAACAATAAAATAGCATCCAAATAACGCACACACAAACCAATATGGATTTGAACCATAGAAATGTAAAGCGATTCTTGGTACAATGAAAGTTACTCTCCAGATGGTTTGTTTAAAACACATTCGTTTACATTAGAAAAGGTATTATCTCATAGCTCACAGCTGACGCCAGCAGTATTTATATAACCCATCATGAATACTGATTTTTGAAAACAGTAAGGCAGATTATTTTTGTGTCAAAATAATTTCACATCAACAAAGTAGATTCTGATTTCTCACTCAAAACAATTTTCATAAAGCACTCACACAGTGCTCCATTTGAACTCTCTGCAACACGCAACAGATATTCTAGCTTTTCAATTTGTTAGTCTGCTGGATTAAATGAAGACTTTGTGCTCTACTGGCATAGAAAAATGCTAAAGACAATTGAACTGATTTAGTTCCAATGCACACGCCAAGAATTTGGCAAGTTGGGTTGCTGTACAGGGCAAGACCACAAAAAATGAAGAGAACCAATCTTTTTAAAGAGCACAAACTCACAGGTGGTTGGAACATGACTACTTAATTCACAAACTGCCCTATACAGGAGACACTAAACCAGGTAACAGCATGTCTACATGCATGTTCATACATCCTGTAAACATAATAGGAAGGACATTGCATCCATAATCCTAAATTTACAAAGATATACAGGCTTCTAAAGATAGAGACAGGTATTTTCTTAGCTGTAGAGAAGCAAGTAAGTAGGGTCTGATGCCTAATCAAAGTCAAGGATTGCTGAAAGCCAGTGGAGAGTTAGAAATCTGCTTTTTAATAACTTTAAAAAAATCCAGTAGATGTCTACTTCCAAACACAGGTGTTAATCCCTTTGAGGAAAAGAGGGTTTTTTCCATTACTATATTGACAGTATTAATTAATGAATAAAATCATTGCTAAAATATGGAGAAAATCCAATTTCTTCAGAGATTTATCACTGTAGTGTACTATATTTTCAGTATGATTTTTTGTTTTTCATAAAACTTTGTGCCTTCCATAGTAACATAATTAGATACTTGAGAGGGGATAAGAAATGGTCAGTTAACACTTTGAAACTCCTGTGTTAATACTCACACAGTGATTAACCTTCTTTGTATTATCCACATTCTCATTTTGTACATACATTAACTGATGATTAGGCCTCTTTTACATTAACATTAATAGCACTTACGTGATGTTTTTGAAGCAAGAAGAGTGGTTTTTGAACCAGTTAAAAACTGAAATCCCAGAGCATTAGCCTGGTCATCCTCAGATGGATGAACAAAGTCTGCAAGAGAAAGTTAAATACGGTTTTCTATAATTCAGCACTGGTATTCAACAAACCTTCAAGCCATAGCCAGGACCATATCAACCTTTGCACGAGCCATTTAAGAAAAGCAAGCTCAATGAGACTGCTTCCTCTCTTAGGGCTCAGCAGTAAAGAACATCAGTGGTAATTTGGTATACCTTCCCTTCATTCACAGGGGGGAAGCTGCGCCACACAATCTGTTGTTCTTCCCTAGCCTGGAAACAAAGAGGTACATTTCTCAGAGGTTCAGTCCGTACCATCTAAAAAGAGCTGTAATCAGTGTACAGCTCAAAGACTATCACCTTTTACCAGATGCAAGGTCACCTTTAATCCAGACATTTATGCAAAAATTACACGGAAATTATAATGAAAATGTTTAAGCATGCTCTGTTTTCAGCTTTCAGCACAGAGCATGACATCTAACTTGCTAAAACTAGCTACTCTGTGAAGTCCATGCATGCCCACCCTTCTTTTCATTCCATGTAGTGGATCATATCAGGTTAAAAGGCTCAATTTTAGAGTATCATACTTTAAAAACTATTCCATGTCATCTCAACCTTCCCTTAAAAATAAGGCAAAACAGGGAGAAGAAGAGATACAATTTTTGAGTACATCAAGAATCCAGCATCCCTTCACGGATCACATCATAAATGGCATGCCTTCTGCTCTCCTCTTACCCCCCCGCCCCCATCATTGAAAATGGGATGAACAGAAATCAGAAGATTTTAATACCTTCTTCATGAACACATGAAGCCTACGCTTTGTGTTATATTTTCAAGAATGCACCCCTAGATTAAAAATAAACTATAACGCTCTATTTTGAAAGCATTATTGCTTAGCTATAAAGGAAGCCTATGATTAAAACACAAAAATGTATACCTTTGAAAAAAGGTTTCTCTGTTTCAAGTATTACACAGCACACCCATCTGAGAGAAAAGTTATTTATACCCCCAAAGCAAAGGAAATCATGCTACCAAAAAACTCTACCATGCCTACTCCACCACTCTCAGACAAATGGACTAAGTAAGCTTTTCAAAAGAAGATGCAGCTCCACCTTAAAAATATCATATTAAAAGTTGTTGGCCCAGACAGCTCTCAGAAAACTATTCCAGAACCTTAGTCCTCTGAAGTTCAGAAACTTAATCACTGCCAGACTGAACTTATTCACAATCACTTTATAAGCCCTGTTTATTCATTTCTTCTTGTGCTAATACCATCATCTAGATCCATGATACAGCCACAAAATATTTATCGAAAGCAACTGTATTCCCTTTTTTTGCCTGTGTTTTAGTCAGATAAATGAGTCACTCTTAACTCTCCCCTTCAGAGCCCTACATACTGTTCATAGCCTTATTGTACACTTTTGCGTTTTAATTAATTTTTACTTAATATCAGCAACCAGCACTCGGTGTGCCAGTGAACAGTAACATTATATTCATTTCCTGCATGGAAACATTTGGTCTAATGCATCCTCAGTTCTCATTTGTTTGCTTATGATTGTACCATGTTGTACCACAGAGTATTCCCGTGGTAACTTCCATCTCCTCTCTCTCTTAGAAATTATGAGCACATAATTACAGCAGAAATTATTTTTATAACATTACACTTTAAAGTACTCAATTTCATACTTCTTTTTCCAGTCCTAAAGGGCACCTAATTCCTCCTTCATATTATTTTAATATTCTCCTGAATATAAAACGTAGCTCAGGTTTGCGCACCAGAAAATATCGCGAAGTACATGTCTTCTTTTTGGTCCAAGAAGGCTAATGAAATTATTAAATAAGACCAGCTACAGACTGATATATCAAGAACCCCACAGATCTTCCTCCAAAGCAACTGTGCCCCCTACATTTACCACTTTTGCTCTGCCCTGTTTATTTTTTTTTTAATTAATGCCCATGTTTTCCCCATTACAACACCACTGATGCAATTCCCTGTAAAATTATTACATAAAAATTAGATCTATATCATGCCCACCATGTAAAGAAATCTGCAGTTTTACCAGAGACAGGCATATTAGCCCAGGTGGATTATTATTGAAATATTATGCATTAATTCTTTCAAAATATACTTTTAAAAATTCTAGCATTACCTTTAATTACCTCATTACTTTGCACAGACAAAGAATTCCTGTTGGAGTTCCTAACACATTTCCTTCTATAGACATATTTTAAAACCTACCTGGAAAAATGGTGAGAAAACTGATGGGAGGTTTATTGGTATCAATAGTTAGCTTGTGATTTGCTGCTTTTGAAGGCTGGGCAGGAAAGCAAATTAACCGCAAAGGCAGCCTGAAGTTACACTGTGCCACTTGAGGTATTCCTAAAATGAAAGAACAGAGATTCATCTCTCAAAGCCATATTCTGAATGCAAGACGCTTCACTCAAAGAGGTATGACAAGATATTCCTTAATGACATGAAAACTATGTTAAAACAAAAACTATGCAAAATTCTAGATTTTTGTTAAGTTTTCCAGCCAAAATACCTTTAAATTTTAATACTTTTTAATTACCCTTCCAAGTGAACATTTTCAGCTGAACGGGAAAGCAAAACCGATTAGCCAAATCCACTGCATATCTGTATTTATACTGATTAACATGCACTGAAGATTAACATTTTGTTTAATGCTCTAGACAAACAATTTAAATGAAAAAATGACCACTGTGTGGCCACTGCTGATCCTTTGAACACAAAATTGAAACATGTATGTTTTCATCACGAATATCACAAACTAAATTTTTTTTAAGAACACAGGGGTTTTTTTAAACCCTTTTTTTTATACCCTTAACATCTACGGAATCTTCATATCATCTGTCAGAGATTATGGTCCTTTTGAGGAGGACTTTTTAATGAAGCAGCTACTAGGGAAACCTCATTATGTTTGGGTGCAGACATCACTATAGGCAGCAATACTCATCTTATTGAGAACAGCATTAAAGTCATAGAGACAATTTCTCCTTCTCTCCCAAATAACCCATTAAAGTCAAACATTAACCCCAACAGTTACCTCACCAGAATTCAGCAAAGTACATTTTTAGGGAAAATAAAGCAAGTTCCTGTCATAGGTCATATGGAGACAGAAAAGCCATGAAACTGACAGCTACGCAGAGGTTATCAGTCATGTAACCTTAGCAGGCTAGTATGAACAGAGAGTTCAACCATTTCATAGTCATCCAAGCAACCCTTTTCACCAACTATTTTGTCTGCTGCTCCACAGATCTCTCGTAACGAAAAATTATTTCTGAGACTCATCTCAGGGGAAAAATGTTACTAGAAGGCTCAGATTCACCTCTCCCATTGTCAATTCATTAGCTCTTTTGGCTGGCTAATAATACCTCCAAGTAACTGTTCTGCAGCAGCTGTTAAAAAACAAAATCAGTCTAAAATGAGAAGAAAGCCAAAGACAGGTCCTCAAAACTAGGCTATCCCTGGGTTCCAAAGAAAATTCCTGAAAAAATACTTGACAATAAACCCATGACCTTTCAGAATGATTCACTCAACTGTATCTTCATCATCTGATGGGAAAATTAAAATCTTTCCTTGATGACAGCATAACACAAACATCTTACTACTGAACTTAGATATGGAGGCTTATCAAAAGGAAGATGTTAGTGACAAAACTAGCCAAAAAGATTTTGAGACATTTTTGTATTTAAAACAAGATGATTTTCTTCATGTTTCAAACCAGCTTTTCCTAGATAGTCTGCTCTTACTCTGCCTCATCATAAACCTAATTTTTCAATATTTTAGACAAAGGTCAAATCATAAGTAAATCAAATAGTATCTGGCTTTGGGAGGAGACTAGAATTGTGATACATTGCACGATATACAATTTTAACACGGAATAATGAAAAAATGTGAAAAAAATTCAGATTCTCTTCTAGCCTGAAACATTACAGAAATTTTGTAACATTATCTTATCAGTTACTACTAACTATTAGAAGACATACTATGCACTTACCTGGTAAAAGTAATAAAAGTTACATGCACTGTAGTTACGATTTTGCTTCCAAATTATTCATGCATTCATCTTCATTATGTTTGAAACATAACATTGATGTACTTGATAAAAAAATCAAAGCTCAGATCTCTAATTTAGCATGTTAAATATACAGAGGATATGCCTTTTCTGGTACTCATGACCTTGAATTCAACTAGCCCAGTGCACCTGACAATAACCCAAATAAATTTTGTCCCAGATAATTCTACAAAGCTTACTCTGCTCCACAATATCCTCTTCACCATTTGTTTTTCATCTTGAGCAGAAATTTCTTAAAACAAAATCTGAATCTTCATGTTTAGAATGTTACTTTTACAAATTATATAATTTTTATATAGTTTATTTATATATTTACTCTATTTTTTTATAATTTTTCAAATTACTTTGTATAGCAGAAATCTGTCACATGGTGACAGCTATTCTTGCCCAGAGTAGTATTTTACTGAGATGGTTCAAGCATCTATTTCCTGTATGGTACCTCAAGGTCCCCTGAAATATCCAGAAACCAGAAAAGGAAGGGAGCCATTAACATAGTTATCTACTTTTTTACTTCATTTAGTATGCTCACAAGAGCATAAGTATTGAAAAAAAAAAAGACTCAAATATACATACATACATCTATATGTATAAATTCTGTTAAGGAAAACTGCAAAACTAAAAATACCCTTTCAGTTGATCTCTAAATCGATGACAAGCAACTTCCCCCCCCCCCCCCCCAAAAAAAAAAAAAGTGAGTTAATTGGTACTTAATATGTATTTTTAAAGTTAGTAAGATATATCCTACCAGGATTGTATCTTTTCAGCACATGTACAGAACTACATGGCAAAATTTCCCTTCTCTCTTTTTAGTTTATCTCTACATAAGCTAACTTTCTAGTCCTCCTTTTGTCTTTTAATTGTACCTTTTTGCAAGTATCATATCTAGCACAATCACAGCTCAGTTTTGTACTGCTGCCACTCTCAGTTAGAAAGCAGCTGTTTAGCCTTGAATAAGATGTTTCCAACAGGAATTGGAATGAAGAGAGGGTAAGTGACATCATCCTCAGAACTACTCACTCCAAACAGCATAGCATTAGCTACAAACCCTTAATATATGTTTCAGTTGCACAAAAAAAAAAAGGTACACTTGAGATAAGTTCTTGCTGAAACTTGAAAAAAACAGCTAAAAATATGGTAAAGAAAGAACATACAATTGTGTTTTCCATTTCCAATCTCAATGCACAAAGCACTTAATACTTGACAAAATTCCTATGTTATATATGACGAAGTACAATTTATTTCACCAAGAAATGCCCTTGCTACTTTCTATTTTCCCCAGGAGTAATTGCCTTATATCTAAGTCCTGTTTACTTTCAGTTTTCTCAAATATTCACACTTTCATAGCATCAAAACAAGGATAATAAGAACTTATAGAAATAATAGGCAAAATAACAGCTCCCTTCCAAATCTGCTGCATTCAGCACACACTGTGACTCATTAAATGATTCAAACTTTGCATTTTTTCCATTCACTCACCTTCAGGATTGAGCTCTACCATATAACCAGCACAAGGACAAAAGAAAAGAAAAAAAAATACATAAGATGTTACTCAAATAAGAAAAAAAGAAAATGTAATAAGTTTAAAAGAACTTAAGCCGCATTTGTTAAGTGGACAATACATAAAGACATAATACTAGCCAAAAAACAGACACGAGACCACATTCATCAATAGTGCAATCCCATCCAACTGACTGACTCATTAACTTTCAGCTGTATGAACCCCACAGAGATGCACTCAAGACTGATTTGGCCACAAATATGGGTGTCTTAAAAAACAAAAGAGGAAAAAGTCTCTATTTAGATAAAATGAAGTCACAAAGGCACTTTTAGTTTACTAGTATACTACACTTAAGGATTTGATTGCCTTGGACAAGTAACATTAGTATCTGTATGTAATAACAGAATTAGCCCAGCTTAATAATTTAAATAATTACCCAAAAATTTAGGAAGCTCTTAATTATGGTCCTTAATGCTAGAATCTAGAAGAACTCTAAATAAAAGGTAAGTTTTTAAAATTTATTCTACATTTCCCTAATTCTGTTAGATGGCATGTCTTCTGGGGATTTTTTTTTAATTGCACACAAACAACCAAACATTCTTAAGATACAATATTTCTTTACTTCCGTAATCAAAAGGCTTGCAAAATCCAATCTAATATCTAAAATAAAAGCATAAGTTTAACTAGTACCACCTGATAGAAGTAATATATTCATTTGTTAAGAACAAGTTCAGTTTTGTCTAGAAATAATTCAATCATCGCACAGCCTAAACTATCATCAAAAACACAATGGTTCAAGCGAGAAGTGAAGTGAATACTTAAATAAAAGTGTCTACACAGGATAAGGTACTCCAGACCACCACCCGTCACAGAAGCCCTAACTCCACATGCTTTTCTTTCATGTCAGTCTAATCTGTGTTACCCTTCCCTTTGTGCTGGCACAGCTCTGTGTTTGCACAGTGAACAAAATTGGTAAATCTGACTGAGAAATAACTGTTGATTGTGTAAGCATAACAGGGGAGGAGGCGCAGGAGCAAAGCCAAGCAGCAAGAAATGAAGAACAGACAGCTTAAGCTTGTTTACGCTGCATTTAACTTAACATGGAAGCCCTGCCTAAATACAGTTTCTCAGTAGCCTGACACATTCCCAAGGCTGTGAGCAGAAAACTAAGCTCATCAGTCTTCAGTTATGGATAGCATACATGAACTTACATATTTTATCACTAGGATCATTAGGGCATTATGAAACAGAACGACTTAGTTTCTATTCCTTTGGGATAGTTTATTTGTTTAGAATGAACATGTCCAACTGTTAAAAGCAAAGCAAGGAATAATCACTGCCAATGCTTACTCAAAACTCCTCCTCTGTGGGGAGGCAGTTCTTGTCACATTTGCCGGCAGCCCAGAAGGCTGAATAGTCATAAAGATGTAATTAATTTCTCGCTCGAAGAGGCAGTCTGTTAAAAGGGCAGAAAAGAAGCAAATTCACAGGACAGGGTGGGAAAGCTTGTGCAGCTGCTTCCTGAGCAACAAGCAAGATTTTACCTCTGTAAGACTAATTATATAACTTAATGATGTTACATAAAGTATTAACTGAAACTGAAGACCAGACTCTGATACACATTATTTCTTTAATTATTGCTGACATCAATATATTTAAAATGCACATTGATATGAAATATGTAAAGAAAAATACTTCAAAAAAGGCAAATTAATTTGAAATCTCCAGTGGCTTACCTGTTGGTGTATAATATGAAACTATACAATTTCCTTCCAGTTCTGATGGAGAACAATTCCTCTTCAAGAAGACAGACAGGACCACAGTTTCAGCTGAATCTGCCTCTAAAAACAATACAAATTTAAATCAAGTAATAAGAGCATCCAAACAAAAGTAACATGTTTTCTAGCACTTTGGGAAATACTCTACTAAATTATGATAGCCGTTTCCATAAGTCCACCTTTATCAAATCACTGGACATGTTTGTTTGTTTGGTTTTTTTAAATCCACAGATTGTAGAAGGCAAAGTAGTCTCTCGAACTTATAACTATTTTTAAGCATAACCAATAAAACAATTCAGCAACTGAACACAAAGAATAACAAAATAAATACAGTTTTATATTGTGATTTTAATATTTTACAAAGCCATCAGCCCTTTGCTCCCATCATGTGTTGAGAAAACATTGGGTTTTTTGTATTTTGCTTTCTGTCCCTGCTTTTATCTCAGCAGTGCCATTTCTACACAGACAGAATTGCCAGCAAAACAAAATGCCCCAAAAATACCACAGAATAACTGATATTTTTTTTCCCTCCATCATGAAGCTGCCACCCTGCCTCTCCTCACCTGCCATGCATCATACCAGAACCAAGGTAGCAACTCCATTCCTTTCTACTTTGTCTTCCTCCATCAAGCAGTATCCAGGTGCAGCAGAGTGCAGGCAAGGCAAATTTGTAATTGCTTTAACTGCAGTATATCTGCAAAAATGCATTCGATGGAGGCTGGGCTATACCTTTCAAACATCCTGAGAAAAAGTAATATGATACAATAGCTGTAATGGTACTACAATAATTTACCCAAATCATCAAAGCTGAACTGGTCGCAGGTCACTGCTAATGGAGCTTGTACACATACTGCCAGGTTTGGTTGCTGTGCAGTCACTCTGCTCTGTATCGTTATCTAAAGTGGCATACAGAAGTATTTAAAGGAAGCAACAAATTAATCCCTGTATAGCATAAAACAAACATAACCGTCAAAAAAGGTATGAAAAACCCACAAAGAGCAATTCAGCAACTATGTTTAAGAACTTCAGATTTCAACTTCAAAACCAATATTTTCCAATTCTTATTTACTTACAGCCGATAATGGAACACACTAACTTGAAAGGCAACAAAAAAATGGAGGGCATTTCCCATGTTCTTTGTAATTTTAACCCAAGACAAACTAATGCTAAAGTGTTACTTAGAATGTTAATATTTTGCAAGTGTCATGAGCATTTGTTCTAATGTAAATAAAAATAAAGTGTTGCTTCTTTTAGGTGACTAAAGTAAAAAACCAAAAAGATTAAAAACAAAGCTAACCAAATAAATTATTTCCTTTGAGTGCAAAGAGCGATGTATAGTCTTCTGAATAACTTCAGAGTCAAGTTCTATTAGACTTATTTATCATTTTAACATTTAAAAATGTAGAGAAAGATGCTGGACCAAGTACAACTAAACCATGCCAGTGTAAGGGAATCTGGTTCAATAAATAGTCCAGTTACCCTCTAAACCTTGCACTAAACACAGAGGGAGAACTTGCAAGGTTCTCAATTATAAGGCTCCATTGATACTCCCAGAAGATCCCTTCAAACTCAGAAATGAAAATCACAATCTTTTTCAGGCAATACTGAGGAGAAACTAATCTTGCACATGCGTGCATGCACACACCCACTTTCTTTAGAATCGGTTACAGGCAACAATCCTCATGGAGAACTGCAATTATGTGAATTTTTAAATTAGATTTTCCCAGCATTTTTTTCACTAGCAAAAGCTACGACAGTCTGTTTACAATAGAAAGCCTATTTTTGTTTATTGACAACTAAAAAGGCAGCTGAAGATAAACTTCAAATTTTGAGTAGCCAAACATTTATTACATTTGAAAAGTGTTAGAAAAATTATTTTTATAACTTCAAAGATGACACAATTCCATCCTAATAATGTTTGTGTGTCTGTTTCTTGATAAGCCTGTCAAAAATAAAACTCCAATCATTTTCCAACTTCAGCAGATGACTTGGTAGAATGACACCTTGTCATACTAAGGAGAAAAAGAGTTAATTATATATTGCATTTCAAATTTTACTCATTTTCATGATCTAAGTGAAATACACAGAAAGTGACAGGTTTGTTAAAATTTGCCATCGCTATTTGAATGCTACTGTTTGAGTTAGGCACAGTACCTTTACTGTGACTGATGGTACTGCCTCTGCTTCTACCTCACTGTCAATGGCTTTCTGTGAAGAAAGAGATGAAAACAGAGGAAATTGAGTATTACACATGAATGAATGAACACAATGAATGCAATACTACTTTCCTACCATCAACTTGGTAAACACAGAATTAACAGTAAAGGACTCATCAAAACAGATTCAAATACAGAAAATACATTTTGAGTTCCTTCTGAAAATGTAAAGCCTCTCTTTGAAATTGCCTGCAAAAAGAATATCAAAAGGTCATGAATGTGGTATATACAAGAAACTAAGACATATATACAAATATTTGAAACTGGTTTGTTTGGCACACTACTTTCCACTGCATATTTATTTAAATTCTGCCAATATATTATATACACACTATCATATAAATATATTTTGAACCTCAACAGTAAATCATAGCAGGCATCTTGCTACTCCTGCTAATTTTTATTTCAATAGGCAATTCTATCCAATTCAAAATTCATCTTGAACTTGCAGTCTACTTTATTATCTTATTTTACGCTAATATTTCATTTTGCAACAGGTCACTCCCTACATTTTAAGGAAATGTTCCCGTTTGTTTAAAACTATTTAAAGAAACACTTCACTTCTAATACAATATCAAATTCATGACTTGAACTTATACCTTCTCATGATAAAAGAGTAAATTAAGAACAATCTCATGTCCTCTACTTCCCCTCCTTTTCAACTCAATATGCCAATATAAGGTCCACGTCTACAAAGTCTCTTAGAAGTAAGGAAGTTGGTAGGCTCTCTAGGTTCTAGAAATAGGACTTTCATTCATATATTGTGCACCTTTTTTCAGTTAAAAAAACGTAGCTACTTTCATACCATTTTTTAAACAGTAAGTAGCCCTGAAAATCATTTTTGCATAAATTAGTGGCCAGAAATTACTATAGATGTTCTAGTGCAATGATTATGTTCTGAAATGTTAAGGTGAAAAGTTTTAAGACATAATATAAGCTCTCCTGTATCTTAATTTGAATTAATTTTTATAAATTACGTATGTATAGAAGATGAATAAACTAATTAGGCTGCAAGAACACAGAATATTGAATGATGCCTTGCCAGTGAAAGATTATTTCTTACCATGCATCTTTGAGTGCTTCATGTATTCTATTTTTAAAAGATCCACACAGTGACACTTCTGTTTCCCCCAAATTATTAACTGCACACCATTTGCAAATTCTCCCCACTACAAATTTACTCCAGATCTTAAGTTCTTCGTTCACTTACATTTGCTTAATCAAGCATCTAAAGGTCCCCAGACAGAAGATACTAAATATTGTTAATTATTAACAAAAGTGCATTTTAATTGATGGAAAACTGGGGGCTATGCAGAAGCTCAGTCCCACAAATATAAACACGTACTAATCACATTTTGTGATCAACCATTATCTACTCATGTACAAAACCAATGTTTTCAGTGCAATTTCCTCTTTACGCAGGCACATACAGATTCTGCATCCAAACTGGGCGAAACTTCTGCTGTGACAATTAGATCTCTGTGTTTTTCAGATTTGGGCAAAATATCTGAAACAAAGAGAAAAAGTAAATCAGCTCTCCTTTAACAAACATGCAGCTACATTTCTAAAAATAATACAGTTTCAACAGCATCAAGTTTCATATTGACATCATTATACCTAGCAGTGTAAAGGAAAAAAATAAAATGCATATGATTTTTGACTGAAGAAGCTTCCTGATTTTATAAGACTTCTACAGACAGCCTAAACCTGGATCTCATTCTGGATTTCTGATTTACAAGTGAAAAAGGATTTAGATGCATTCTGTAATAAGATTTTATGCCTACTATCCATGATCTCCAGAGACTAAAGAATTTTTAAACTTTTGTCCTCACACGCATATACTAATACGCTTATAACAAACAACTATCTCCAAAATACACACAGCACATCCCATGGCACTTGCATCTAAATAATTTGATAATGATTATGAACATAATGATACAGAAAGATTCTGTGCCTAATAGTGTAGAATTAAACATATTTTGGAAGTTCCTCTGTGTATAAAGGCATACGGAAATTTCATGTACAGAATGTTATATGGGCTTGGTTACAATACACAACCTGATGATTTCCAGGACTGTCAACATAGAAGGAAAAAAATGCTACAAACTCATTTATGATATAAAACCTTATGCAGGTTCACATATGTAAAAAAAGTTGTGAGGATTAAAAGCTAGGCACTTAAATACCATGAGGAATTACATAATCTCCTCTTAAGAAGTCCAACTCTAAGGTATTTGCGGTTTTCTGAAAAGCACTTTTATTTTTTCGTACTAAATATATTGGAAAAAGAGAAACCCAAATAAGAAATGTATAGTTCCTAAAGTAACAAACAGTAAAGACTTAATGTAAACGGGAAATTAATGTATTAATTGAATAACTGAGAGCATGAGCACATTCAGAAAGCTGCAAGAATTTTATTACACACAGGGTCCTGAAAACAACCCAGAACTAGCAGGCAGCACATTGGCTCTTTCTAACAAGAGGGTGAAGGGAAAAGATTTTGATGAAGAAGGAAAATAAGTTCTCGTTTTCTTGTGCTCAAATAAAAATGCCTCCCTTTACTGCAAGGAAAAAAAAAGCAAAACCAAACCACATTCCTCCAACACCACCTACCAAAGCAGCTTAGGCCTGTTTCATACTAGCACAGTTGCACACAACTGGTTCTGCCAATTACACATAGCTCAGCACAATCCATTCCGCTTGTACAGATAAAAAAATATCTTCCCTTTCTATCCCTTCTTAACCGTTTCTCTTCAGGTTGCTTCTTCAAGCAAACTGTGATGCAACTTCTGTCATACAGTCATTTTAGCATTAGAAATAGGACAGAGATCACAAGCAAAGTTTACATGTAAGTATCAGCTTTTTGCTCCTACTAAACTGAGACAAAACACCTATGTTTAATCACTCATGCCATCCAGACCAATGTAAGTAACATTAGATTTAAGTTAGCATAACAGTTAAGATTTTAAAATATTTAATCAGTTTATAATGTAAATCCTTATTCTTCAAAATGTATAAAACAGTTTAAGTTCAACAGTTTAATGGTCAGCACTGGACAGAAATATAAGACATCTTTGGAAATAACTATTCTAAGTTTTTTTTTTAATATGATGACCTAATGCTAAATACCTTCCATGTTCGGAAGTCAAAATGAAACAAAGAAAGATTATTTCCATATAAGGGTAGATATTTTCAAAACAGCACAACCTTACTGCACAAATGTGAATCCAAAAGACAGGAAAGTCAAGGGCTCATTTCAAAGATCATGCTTAGGAGTAACTTAATAGTGACCAGCATCCAAAAGTGGTTTGTATTCAACCAGACACGATTAGCAGTTATTTTAAGACTTTAGCTAAAGTTCTAAGAAAAAAAGCCAAAATTAAACAAAGCCAAAAAATCTGAAACTGAAAGGCATTCTTCTTAAGTAAAATCTTTTGTTGTAAAAAAGGTTTTGTCACAAGTTCTACATCCAGTTAAAGCCAAACACAACATCATTAGAGCATCTCTCCACAACGAAAAGAGCATTCATAAAAACTCATCTGAAAACACCACTGGAGCATCTTAGATCAGATGAGAAAGATTGAGGAAGAAAAATTAAGAGGAAGAAGGAATGGGAAAAAGACTAAAAATATACATAGCAAACTTGTCAGTTAAACCATGACAGTTATAAAGTTATAAAGGATAGCTATGTTTCCTTCCTCTCGCTCTAGATCTTCCACATTATATGTGAAAACCAACAGAAGTTGATTCACTTCAACTCGATGTATTCCTTCCATCATGCTTTTCTTTCCTTTGTTTATGATAGCCAGACAAAATTGTCAAATATTTATGAAGAAGGGCTGTGGCAAAAATCAATGGAATTTACCCACATCTATATGTTTAAACAATCAATTACTGGATTTATAAAATTAAAAAACCTATATTAATCTATCACAATAACAAAGTCATATGCGATTACAAAAATCAAGCTCATAACTGCAGATAAATAGTTTCTTATTTTCTAGGGATTCCAACTGTGAGCTTTTTCACTCTCTTTCACACAGAAAGCCACAACTATTTCTTTCATGCATTTTATGAACATGCTAACTATCATCAGGAAAAGATTTTAATTGGTTCTTTCTATTTGTCTAAGATTTTTCCAAAGTTTCCTGTAAAATCACGTGCTTCCAATTCCCTATATGTCAGATACACTGTTTAAAAATTCAGTTATGAAAACAAACAAAGGATCTCTGTAGAAATTAATGTGCCCTTACTTGAACAAAAACAATGCAAGTTATTAGCAATGTATGTAAATTCCAGAGTTTATCATGATCAGTTATTTGGGCTTTGATATCCCTCACTACATTCTTCAAATACAATCGCATTTTAAAGAAGTTAAAGCAACATAAAACTTGCTTTAATGAAAGTCATTCTTTGTTAATTGCATGACTAAAGCAGCCATTTGTCATAATAAAGCAGAATTTGGCAATACTTTTGTTCTTTCTGAAGGCTAAGTATATCAGAGTGTTGCTGTGAAATTCCTTAAGTTTTCTTGCCTCTGGGTAGTACATGCACTGTCAGTTTTTCCTCTAAACCCTTGCCCTAGTGAGAGTTACCTGCAACCTGACATAAATATCTTGAAAGTTCCGATAGCCATTATAAAAATACAAAGAAAAACTCTATATCCAAGGACCTTACAGTCTAGAATTTTGTTTGTATATTTTTTTATTAAAATCTAAACTTTATTAAATATTATGTTACCTACTGAAATATAATTATGGGTAAAGTATGGAAATAAAATATTTTAAAGTCCTAAAAAGAAAGCTACGTGATTAAAAGTATATACAACTATAGAAAAGGGAGAAGCATACCTTGTGTTTTTGAAGCCTCCTTGATGATTTTCTGAAGCTCTTTCATTTCAGCATCGAATTCTTCATAGTTTATTTCTCTAGAATCAACTTTAGGAGCCTGGAAGATTGAAGGATCAGTTCCAAGGTAGGAACACTGAAGATGTCCATTGTCACTCAGAGTGACTATAACACCCTTCAAGTCTCTGCATAAAAAAAAAAAAAAAAGGAAGAATCACAGAAGCAACAGCATTTAATTTATGCTGCTTCTACTGTTCCATCTACAAATACAAGAGAACTTCCTGTTTTTAATGAGATCCTTTAACCAAAAGAAAACAACGTTTATTCTTCAGTTCAGATGTGTTTATTAATATTATTCCTACTTATTGCAACCACACTTAAGAACAAATCTGTGCCAGATAGTTGACTAAAACATCACCCAAGTATCTCAGAATCCATATAATCAAGAGAGGTAAAGGAAAGGATCAGAACAAGCTGAGTAGACAGCACAGTTCTAACCTTTTTTATTCACAAATTGTTACTTAATTTTTTTTGAAGTATGGATATTTAGGTTGGTATGCAGGAAGAGTAATTAACTAAACAGAACACCAACTAAGGGAAGAGAAAGGATGCATTAGAAGAAATCACTAATGGATGGAACATGTCCACAGTGAAGACAGCAGTAGGTCTTTGATGGTATCAGTAGTTCCCCTAATCCATTCTTTGGCTGCTACTGCAGCTACTGTGCTGGGTGAAACCCTGGCTGGCTCGAAACCCTGGCTGGCTCTTCCCTGCAGGGTCTTTCTGAAAGGAAGCCACATGGATCGAGAACATTCCCCTTACACTGCTCTGGATCAATACACACGAGTGTTTTATTAGCTACACTATAGTCTCTTTTCTCTTGAGGGAACATGACTTCTTTGAACTTACTCCTACAAAAATCTCACTCATTTTGCTTATCTGATCATGTACCATGCAAAGGCAAGATTTAGGAAAGTATTTAACGAATTATGAGACAACAGGGAGAACTGCCAACATTTTACTTAACTTGAAGGTTATTCCTGAACAGAATAGGAACTGAACAGTAAAGAAAGATTAGCATAGATGTTAACAGCACAAGTTAGGAGAAAACTAACTTTCATTTTATTTTTTAAAATGCTTACTCTTAATTTAATTAATAGCTTGTAATTATTTTCATAATCATGAGGTGATACATTTATGCCAATAATCTGCTCTTATTCCATGCTTAGAATACCTTATAGCAGCAAAGACAGTTCAAATTTAATTCTTAGATATAAATCTTAATTTTGATAAGAAAGCCTAATGCACTATCCCACTAATTAAACCCACGTAAAACATTACATTCATAAGTGTTCAAACTACAATTCATAAAGAATTAACAAAAAACTCTATATGCTGATACATTTCAAGCATCTCCTCTAGTACAATCCTCATTAAAAATCAGGTAGCTATATAAAAAAATAGAATTCTCTCTAGTTTCCTATCTTGTCTTGTAGCATGGCTCCAGTACACACATATAGGAAACCTCAATCCAAAATTTACCAAAGTAATAGTAATTATGAAGGCAAACAGGTGTCACAGACTAATTTCAATAACTGACAGTTCAATAGGACAGTCCAAAATGCCTTTTTACAGAACGCTAAGGCCACAATCCCAGTGTTGGTTTCACAACTGCAATCAAATACTCTGTAAAAACTATGCTGTAACTGAAACATGAAACATATACAAACACAAACAAGCCTTTTGGAGTAATATTACCTTGTTAAATGTGTCCACAAATTTGTACATAAATAGAAACAATAAGAAAAATATGGGTAACCAGTTATAACATATGATTTATAATACATTAATTTCTCTCTTGGAATGTTTGTCAGCCAGTCAAGATTGCTTTATTTTCTCAAGCTTTTATAACAGAGGTTAAAGATAGCAGAGGGAGGGGGAGCATAATTAACAGTTTTAGAGTAGTTTCCCCACAACTACTGCACTCGTACAATATCCCTGCAAATACCATTACTTCATTTGGCACATTTTGCACACAGTCTGGACTTTCAATTACTTGTTAAATTTCTTTTATTGTAAGCTATTTTTTTATTATATATATCACACAATATTCAAAGTAATAGCAAATCTAAGGGGACACTTTAAGAGTGAGGAACTCAAAGTATGAAACAAATTATTCTGGTATCTAAAATAACTTTACAGTACAAAGCAACTCCTACACACATATGGTAATAATTTGAAAAGCTATGTTTTACTGGATTCTGGGTAATAATAATGGCATATGCTTTTTGTAGATCTTCTCTCACTAAACAAATTGCTCACAGCATAATTCTTGAAGAAATTAAAATGCTTTGCATGTTTCCAGTTATATAATACCAAACTGATAACTCAAACGATTGATTTAGAAGTTGAGTTTTGAGTTCTACTCGAATGACACAAGCTAAGCCCTGGACAACTCTTAGGACAAGGTCTGGTTACTGACACCATTTACAGCTTTAATTATTTATATTTATAATAGCAGATAAAACTTCTACCTCAATTTCAGAAGTAGTCTTAATTGATATTACTCATACCAATCATTTTAGAAAACAAGATGCTCTGCAATACTACTTTCAGTCCCTTATTGAGAATGTATTATTTATAAGCTACTGAATTAGGAAACTAATTCTTGAATTGTGCTCAAGCATTTTGAATCTAATTCTCTCCTCACTTGATCATCCTCTGAAGTAATTATATGCAAGAGCACAACTACAATAGCACTTTTTAGTTTAGTGCTTTTGAAAACCTAAATAGTTTAAAGTTTCACTACCATTTCAACGTCATTATAGCTGTAACCGTATGACGTATTTGATAAAATGCTGAAGGAAGAGCAGACTAGGAGTAAAAAACTATAAGAATTTTCTAACATGAACTAATGGAAGCAAAAGTCGAAAGCCCATCTTACTTTTATTAAACACGCACTCCAAAATCAGACCTTCAGCTGAATATTTAAGGTGGGACACAGTGCCAGCTACCACCAATTTGTAACTGCTTTTAGGTGCCTGTGGAGCACCCTCAGGCACCTTTGAAAACCCCTTCCTCATTAAAAACATCTTTTTTTCAACTTTACACCAAAACTAATATTTATGTGTGTAAGACTTCGCCATTCTGCTATTACACATGAAAACAGAATCTGTTTGCTCTCAGAAAATAAAATTCTTTTAAGGTTATTTCTATTATGTATTTAACATCGTCTGCACACTCTGCAGAGGACATGCAAACATATAATGTAAATACAGTGTTCAATTATAATATATTAAATATCGTTAAGTGGTAAATAATTTGTGTTGTTGCTTTACAGAAAGGCATTCTTCATCTTTTCCATTTATGTGATGGTTTACAATTGCTGATCTTAACAGAATACCAGACACAAATCTAGTATAAAAATTATGAAATACAAGTAAGAGGAAGAGGGAAATGAAATATGATTTCACCTTGATAATGAGTGCAAAAGCACTTCAACAAAGAGTAGTTATGACTAGAACAACAATAGGTCAACGCCTATCCCCTCTTATAAGCACTGAAAATCTGCTGAGAGTCAGAACTGAATAACACCTGAATTTGGCCACCCTGTTACCATTCTGAATGCCAGAAGGATTCTCCAGCTTCCAGGTCTTATTTTCACTTGCTACTTGGGAGTAAAGACATTTTCACTAGCACCTTTACTTGGTGACACCACACAGCAAAAAAGCAGCCTCATGACAAACTCAGACAACTCTTTACCTTGGGTAGTTTTCCCTTTGAAATTACTCTTTGCCTAAATGACCAAACGCCATCCAGCGAGACAATAAAAAGGATCACCTTCCACCAAACAACAAAATGAAAAAAACAATGGAAAAGAATTGGTTTTACTTTTACCGTCAAGTTAAAAACAAACATTACTCACAAAAGTTTGGGGCAGGGGGTCTTTTCTGCCAGACCACTAGTGCCACCTGCGGGGCAGCACAAAAAGGCTTGCAAGGACAAGACATACCTAAAAGTTACCATATCACATTAAATGAAGCACGTTTGGTTTTTTTGTTTTGTTTTTTTGTTTTTTTGGTTTTTTTTATCAGGGTTAGTATAATAGCTTGACAGTTTAAATGTAAGGGAATCTTAACAAGTTAAGATTTAACAAAGCATGAAGAGGGACAGACATCCGTGTATGACATCATCTTCTGGTTCCTCCAGGCAGGGAACACACATACTGCTACAGGCAAGCTAGACATGCGATTTAAGCTCACGCTACAGATGACATATAAAATTAATTTTTATCTGAAGGATTAAGCAACTTAGTTTCTTGTTGTTTTAAATATCAAAACAAAACTATTTCATAAGTAGTAAAGGTTTTATTCAAAATTAAAGTAGCCAGCTATGCAAAATGCAGATTTAAATTAAAATTAGTATTTGTCACAAAGTAGAATAAAAACAGGATTAAAAACAGGATATTCATAGTGATGACATGGGCCTCCAGGAATATATGATTTGCTTTAGGAAAGAAAAAAAAAAAAAAAAAAAAGAAAAAAAAAAGTAAAGAGCTCTGAAGTGTAATATATTCAAGGAAAAGTTCAGAAATTCCACTTTGCTTTTCTTATGATCACAGTTCCATATCTAAGACACTTATTGGCATTATCTGAATTGAAAATGAATGTGGGGACTGATAAGGAAACCTGATTACTAAAAATAAGGGTGCAGCCTCCAAATAAGAAGAAACTGAAGAAATTACATTATTATTTCATTTATGACAGTACCAGTGTCAGTACTAAGGAAGAAATTAAGACCAACTGTGACACACCTAAAACATCTCCATGCTTCGCTCCCTCTGAGAGCTACTCAAGCAGTACGTAATTCTTCATTTGCACCTCTTTCACCTGAAGTCTAAAATCTGTTTCAAGGCCAGACTCCCTCACTGGCAGACAGGTATACAGCAGGTTCCAAAGGCTCAAAGGCTATACACCAAAAGGCAGCAGCTATGGCATCACGAATACACAATCTGGAGGGCCTCAAAAGTTTATCCTTCATCTAAACCTTCTCTTCTCCCACTTCAGAACAGTGGTTAGAGTTCATTTCACTCCAGGCAAGCTGGAGAGGCCCCTAGCACCTCTGCTTCCAGCCATAAAGAGATGCAAGGTGCTATACGGATAAAATCGACACTCTAGTAAGTTTA